GTGTTAGAGTGTGTTTTGAAGTTTGAGTTAGAGTTTGTGTATTAGAGTTTGTGTTAGGTTTGTGTTAGAGTTTGTGTTAGAGTGTGTGTTAGCGTTTGTGTAGAGTTTGTGTTAGAGTGTGTGTTAGAGTTTGTGTTAGAGTTTGTGTTTGAGTTTGTGTTAGAGTGTGTGTTAGTTTGTGTTAGAGTTTGTGTTGAGTGTGTGTTAGACTGTGTGTTAGAGTTTGTGTTAGGAGTTTGTGGTTAGAGTGTGTGTTAGAGTTTTGTTAGTTAGAGTTTGGTTAGAGTTGTTGTTAGGCAGGTGGTGTTAGAGTTTGTGTTAGAGTGTGTGTTAGAGTGTGTGTTAGAGTGTGTGTTAGAGTTTGTGTTAGAGTTTGTGTTAGAGTGTTTTGTGTTAGAGTTTGTGTTAGGTGTTAGAGTTTGTGTTAGAGTTTGTGTTAGAGTCGTTGTGTTAGAGTTTGTGTTGAGTGATGTGTTAGAGTGTGTGTTAGAGTGTGTGTTAGGTTTTTGTTAGAGTTTGGAGTAGAGTGTGTGTTAGAGTTGTGTTAGAGTGTGTGTTAGAGTTTGTGTTAGAGTGTGTGTTAGAGTTTGGGTGTTAGAGTTTGTTGTTAGAGTGTGTGATAGAGTTTGTGTTAGAGTGTGTGTTAGAGTTTGTGTTAGTGTGTGTGTTAGAGTTTGTGTTAGAGTTGTGTTAGAGTTTGTGTTAGAGTGTGGGGTAGCGTTTTTGAGTTAGAGTGTGTGTTAGATGTGTGTTAGAATGTGTGTTAGAGTTGTGTTAGAGTGTGTTTGAGTGTGTGGTAGAGTGTGTGTTAGGAGTTTGTGTTAGAGTTTGTTTAGAGTTTGTGTTAGCGTTTGTGTTGGAGTGTGTGTTATAGTTTGTGTTAGTGTTTGTGTTAGCAGTGTGTGTATAGAGTTTGTGTTAGAGTTGTGTTAGAGTTTGTGTTAGGTGTGTGTTAGTTTGTGTTAGAGTTTGTTAGAGTGGTGTTAGAATGTGTGTGAGAGTTTGTGTTAGAGTTTTGTGTTAGAGGTGTGTGTTAGCGGTTGTGTTAGAGTTTGTGTTAGAGTTTGTGTTAGAGTGTGTGTTTAGAGTTTGTGTTAGTGTGTGTTAGAGTTGGTGTTAGAGTTTGTGTTAGAGTGTGTGTTAGAGTTTGTGTTTAGAGTTTGTGTTAGAGTTTGTGTTAGAGTGTGTGTCAGTTTGTGTTATGAGTTTGTAGAGTGGTGTGTTAGAATGTGTGTTAGAGTTTGTGTAGAGTTTGTGTTAGAGTGTGTGTTTGAGTTTGTGTTAGAGTTTGTGTTAGAGTGTGTGTTAGAGTGTGTGTTAGAGTTTGTGTTAGAGTGTGTGTTAGAGTTTGTGTTAGATGTTGTATGTTAGAGTGTGTGTTAGAGTTTGTGTTAGAGAGTGTGTTAGAGTTTGTGTTAGAGTGTGTGTTAGAGTGTGTGTTAGAGTGTGTGTTAGAGTTTGTGTTAGAGTGTGTGTTAGGAGTTTGTGTTAGAGTGTGTGTTTGAGTTTGTGTTGAGTGTGTGTTGGTTTGTTTTGTTAGAGTTTGTGTTAGAGAGTGTGTTAGCGTTTGTGTTAGAGTGTGTGTTAGAGTGTGTGTTAGAGTGGGTGTTAGAGTTTGTGTTAGAGTTGAGTTAGAGTGTGAGTTAGTTTGTGTTTGAGTTGTGTGTTAGAGTTTGTGTTCGAGTGTGTGTTAGAGTGTTGTGGTTTAGAGTTTGTGTTTAGCGTGTGTGTTGAGTTTGTGTTAGAGTGTGTGTTAGAGTTTGTGTTCGAGTGTGTGTTAGGTGTTTGTGTTAGGTGTGTGTTCGGTTTGTGTTAGCGTGTGTGTTAGAGTTTGTGTTTGAGTGTGTGTTAGGAGTGTGTGTTAGAATGTGTTGTTAGAGTTTGTGTTAGAGTGTGTGTTAGAGTGTGGATAGAGTTGTGTGTTAGAGTTTTGTGTTAGAGTTTGTGTTAGAGTTTGTGTTAGAGTTTGTTTTAGTTTGTGTTAGGAGTGTCGTGTTAGAGTTTGTGTTAGAGTTTGTTTTCGAGTGTGTGTTAGCGTGTGTGTAGTTTGTGTTAGAGTGTGTGTTCGGAATGTGAGTTAGCGTTTGTGTTCGTTTGTGTTAGAGTGTGTGTTAGAGTTTGTGTTAGCGTTTGTGTTAGAGTTAGTGTTAGAGTGTGTGTTAGAGTGTTGTGTTAGAGTGTGTGTTAGAGTGTGTGTTAGAGGTTTGTGTTAGAGGTTTGTGTTAGAGTGTGTGTTAGTGTTTGTGTTAGAGTGTTGTGTTAGCGTTTGTGTTAGGTGTGTGTTAGAGTTTGTGTTAGAGTTGTGTGTTAGAGTTTGTGTTAGAGTGTGTGTTAGAGTTTGTTGTTAGAGTTTGTTGTTAGAGTGGTGGTTAGAGTTTGTGTTAGAGTGTGTGTTAGACGTGTGTGTTAGAGTGTGTGTTAGGTTTGTGTTAGAGTTTGTGTTAGAGTGTGTGTTAGGTTTGTGTTAGAGGTGTGTGTTAGAGTTTGTGGTAGATGTGTGTTAGAGTTTTGTGTTAGAGTTTGTGTTAGAGTGTGTGTTAGAGTTTGTGTTAGAGTGTGGGTTAGAGTTTGTGTTAGAGTGTGTGGTTAGAGTTGGGTTAGGAGGGTGTGTTAGAGGTTTTCGTGTGTTAGGAGTTTGTGTTAGAGTGTGTGGTTAAGAGTTTGTGTTAGAGTTTGTGTTAGGTTTGTGTGGATGATGAGAGGGTCAAGACTGGGCAGTGCGTTTGGAGCAACCAAAAACAAGTGGTGTTTGAAACGATGGAGGCGTCACCGACAGATGTTCAATAAGTGGACAACAGTTGTTTTGGAACGTTACTCACATTTATTGTTTTGGAGATTTCTCATGAGCCCATTTCCACAGCCTACTCTACTCTACTTACCCTACTCTACTCTACTCTACTTACTTACTCTACTTCTCTCTACTCTCCACTCTAGAACATGTTGCTCCTGGGGGTTCTTCAGATTGAGTCGTCAGGGTGAGATTTAATCTAAAATCTGCTCAAGGCAATTTTATTTGTCTATAACTTCCCGAGTAACCGCTGGAGCTGACCCGTTCATCAGCCCACGGCAAAATGAATTACAATTTTGGTATTGTGGTGGGCCCACAGTCCTCGTGGGCCCACCAACAATCCCAAAAGATTTTAATTCATTTTGCCGTGGGATGATGATACCAGGGGTCTGCTCCAGCGGTTACTCTGGAAGTATTAGACAAATAAATTGCCTGGGCGCTTTTAGATTACATTCACACTGACGACTCAATCGGAATACCCCTCAAGGAGAACTGTCTAGAGTGGAGGTAGGAGTCGTATGAGTAGAGTAGAGTTAGAGTAGAGTAGAGTAGAGTAGGGTAGAGTTGAGTAGAGTAGGGCTGGTGAAATGGGGTCATGAGAAATCTCCCCAAAACAATAAATGTGAGTAAACTTTCCAAACAACTGTTGTCATTATTGAACATCTGTCGGTGACGCTCCGTCGTTTCAAACACCACTTGTTTTTGGTTTCTCCCAAAAAGCAGCTGCCAACATTCTGACAGCTCTCACATCCACACAAACTCTAACACAAACTCTAACACAACAACACTATAACACACTCTCGAATCTACAAACTCCTTTAACACACACTCTAACACAAACGTCTAACACCACACTCTAACTACAAAACTCGAAACACTCTCTCTAACACAAACGTCTAACTCACACTCTAACACCAACGCTAACTACAAACTCTAACAAACACTCTAACACAAACTCCTAACAACACTCTTACACAAACTCTATACACTACAACTCTAACACAATCTCTAACACAAACTCTAATACACACTCTAACACACACGTCTAAACACACGCTAACTCAATACCTCTAACACACACTCTAACACAAATCTAACACAAACTTAACACACACTCTATCACAAACTCTAACCACCACCTCTACACATAACTTAAACACAACACTCTAACACTAACTCTAACACACACTATAACACAACTCTAAACACACTTATCACAAAACTCGAAACATCAAACTCTAACACTTCTTAACACCACTCTTAACAAACTCTAACTCCACGAGAACAAACCTCTAACACAAACACGAACACTAACTCTAACACACACTCTAACTCAAACTGAACACAAACTCTATACAAACTTTCTATACACCACTTAACACAATTCTAACACACACTCTAACCACAACTCTAACTCAAAGTCTAACACAAACGCTAACACACACGCTGTAACACAAACTGATCACAAACGCTTAACATACAAACTCTTAAACACAAAAACTCTAACACAAAACGTTAACACACACTCGAACACACACGTACTCACACTCTAACACAACTCTAACACACGTTCTAACTCATCACTCGTAACACACACTCTAACACATACTCGAACACATCTCGAACACAAAACTCGAACACACACTCTAACCAAACTTAACACACACTTAACACAAATCCTAACACCACACTCTAACACAAACTCTAACACAACTCTAACACAAACTCTAACACAACTCTAACACCACACTCTAACACAAACTCTAAACACACTCTAACACAAACTAACACACCTCTAACACAAATCTAACACAAACTCCACCACACACTCTAAACACACACTTAACACACATTTCACACAACTTTAACCCACACTCTACACAAACTCTAACACAATCCTCTAAACACACTCTAACACAAACTCTAAACACACTTAACACACACTCTAACACACACTCTACACAAAACTCTAACACACACTCTAACACACACTTAACACCACACTCTAACACAACACTCTAACACCACAACTCTAAAACCACCAATCTAAACACACATCCTAACACAAACTCTAACACAAACTCTAACACACAACTCTAACACAAACTTCTAACACACACTCTAACACACACTCTTACCACAACTCAAACAAAACTTACCACACACTCATCACAACACACTAACCCAACTCAAAACCCTTTCAACACACCCTCTAACCCCATCCCCCCCCCCACCCCTCAACCCACCTCTCACCACCACCCACTACACCCAACTCTAACCACACCCTCTACCACCACTCTCACACAAAAACTTAAACACACCTCTCACCACCCACTCTAACCCTACACCATCAACCACCACACACTCAACCACCCACCCATTAACCCACAAACTCCAAACCACAAACTCAACCCACACACTCTACCACACCCTCTACCCCCCCCTCTCCACCCCCTACTAACCACACACTTAACCAACTCTAACACACACCTAACACACACTCTAACCATAAATTCACACCACAACTTAACACAAACTCTCCCACACACACTAACCCACACTCTCACCCACACACTCACAACCCACACTCTAACCCCAACTCTCCCACCACACCTCTAACCCAAACTCTTTCAACCCCACACCTCCCCCCCCACTCTCACCCCCCACACTCTACACCACTCTAACCACCAACTCTCACCCCACCAATCTCCCCACCACCACTCTAACAACCCTCTCCCCCCCCACCCTCTCCCCACCCCCACCCTTTAACCCCCACCACCACCACCCACCAACACCCACCCCATTCCCCCCCACCCACTCACCACACCACTCTAACACCAAACTCTAACACACACTCTACCACCAACTCTAACAACACCTCTAACACAACACCTCTAACACAAACTCTAAACACACTCTAACACCAAAAACTCTAACTCACCACTCTAACACAAACTTACCACCCACTCTAACACCAAACTCTAACAAAAACTCTAACACACACTCTAACACACACTCTAACACACACTTAACACAACTCTAACACAACTCTAACAAAACTCTAACCCAACTCTAACCACCCACTCTCCCCACAACAACTCTAACACACCTCTAACACAAACTCTCACACCAACCTCTAACACACACTCTAACACACACTCTAACACAAACTCTAACACAAACTCAAACAACACTCTAACCCAAACTCTACACAAATCTAACCACAAACTCTAACACACACTAACACACATCCCTCTAACACAACCTCTAACACACATTCTAACACACACTCTAGCACAAACTCGAACACAAACTACACACACACCTCTAACACAAACGCTAACACAAACTCTAACACAACTTAACACACACTCTAACACAAACCCTCATACCACAAACTTAAACACACTCTAAAACACAACTCTAACACAAACGCTAACCAAACCTCTCAACACACTCTAACACAACTCTAACACCACACACTCCTCACACAAACTCTAACACACACTCAAACACAAACTCTACACAAACTCTAACACACACTCTTTAACACAAACTCTAACACAAACTTAACACTCACTCTAACACAACTCTACCTCACTCTAACACACACCTCTAACACCCACTCTAAACACAACACTCTAACACCACTCTAACACACATCTACACACAAACTCTAACACCCACTCTAACACACACTCTAACACACACTTCTAACAACACTCTAACCACACCACTTCTCAACACAACACACTCTCATACACACCTCCTAACACACCCCACACTCCTGACACACACTTTCTCTAACACACACTCTAACCCACCACACTTCTAACCACTACTCTAACACAAACTCTAATACACAGTTTAAACCCACCTTAAAACACCCCACTCTAACACCACACTCTTAACACAATCTATACACACTCTACCACAAATCTGACACACACTCTAAACACAATCTAATACACACTCTAACACAAACTCTGACACACACTCTAACACACACTCTACACAAACTCTGAACACACACTCTAACACTCACTCTAAACTCACTCGACCACACTCTAACACAAACTCCAATACCCATTCTAACCACCACCTGTCCTAACCCACACATCTACACACCACTCTAACACACACCTCTAAACAAACTCTGTCCCCCACACTAAAAACCACATCTAACACACACTTAACCCACCACTCTAACCCACAAACTTAATACCCAGTCTACACCACACTCTAACACACACCCTCTAACACACCACTCTAACACAAACAGCAGAACTTTTATAATAAATCCATCTCACCTCAGAACACTTTTTCTTTCTTAATCAGGGTTTTCCTGTGTATGTTGTAGTTTTAAATAAATTACAATAATTGATACTAGCTTTATTAGGGGGCACCAAGGAATAACTCCCCAACCTGATAACGTGCATATGGCGTACAAATATCATTATTGGCTCATATATTGATTAAGTAATCCTCATGAGTCCTTTCATTATTTAATTTAGTCCCAATTCTCTTCAATAGATCTGAAGGAGTGAATTCCTTTTTCAACTCAGTGACCAATTTTGGAGTTAAAAGGTACCCAAAATATCACTTTCAGACAAGATGGTTTTGTCGATTTAATGAAGTATACACGCAATACAGACTAGATAGGATATAGCAAATGGTCAAGATAACCATGAAGGGAACGTTGATTATCAAGATACATTATTAAAATGCTAGGCTAAAGATGATGCTAAGCAAGACTTTGTCTATGAATGGATTGGTCTAGGCTGAGGCCTGCATGTGTTCAGCCTTGTTTAAGAGAAGTATTCTTTGCAGTATAGGTTATAATAAAGCAACAGCTGTGTGTTCAAGAGAGCAGAATCATACAACCAGAATAGCCTTTGGTGACTAGCAGGTCCTTGGGTATGTGATGGTATGTGGGATGGAGGCTCTTGTCACGGGGCCTGGACCATGCGGCTGCATCATGTGGCTGAACCAAGTCCTCCACGATCCACAGTCTAGGTGCCTAAAAACTCAGCAACTTCTTCAGGTTGAAGCTGGGGAGGGGCTATTGAAGGGTTGTGGAAGTCTCTCAAACGTGGTGCTGAGGTGTTGAGGGCCCATCTAAGAGGCCCAAAGGCCCTTGGTTGCGTGAGCCGAGCCCAGGGAGGTCTGGGCACTTCCGTGGTCCAAAGCAGACTGGTTTTTCTTCCCTGAGGGTCCTAGTAAGTCCTTCACATCCTTGTAGCGTCGTTGGGGGGAAGGATGGGGGTGTTGCATGGCACTTATCTTTATGATTTCTTACCCACAATAAAACCTGAACCACAAGGTTTAAAACACCCGTGGAGACAGAAGTTATAATATTGGTCTCATTATACAACAAAAGTCTTTGATTGACGGAAAGATGGTCATTTTAATTTATCCTACAACCCCCCCCTTTGTGTCCGCTCCGCCAAAACCAAACGCGAGAGGTTGGACACACAATATAATTTTGATTATGACCGATGAGAACGTTCACTGTTCCAGTTCTTTTCCGGGGCAGAGCTCCTCTGCAGTGAGGGCTGGTGGAATTTTCTACTGGGGGGGGTATGAATATGAGACTAGATCTATACCAGCAGGGTAAGGGAAGCTTTCTGATCCCTACCTGTAGCTTTCCTCCGCTGGGATGAAATATTCTATCTTCAAATCATAGTAATTTGAGGGCATGTTGCATGTGGATACCAGTCTGCTCATGCTTCTTGCTTTTCTAAAAAGAGCTTCGATCAGTCAACCTGTCTTGATTCCCTGCTGGGTCAGTTCTGATGTTTGAAACAAGGGCATGGAATAGCAAAATCAAGCATTAGCCTCGCTACAGCTGCCTCGACCAAGATTTTGGCGCTGAACCCCCAGGTCTGGCAAAAACAGTACGGAGAGTTACCGTCTCCCCCTGTCGCTTGGGAACTGTGGGGGACTAATGGTAATATTTGGCTGAATCGGTCCCAAGCTCTTTAACCTCCACCCCTTCTCCTGGTTATGATCTTTCTCCAAAACGGTATTGTTTTGGTGATTACTGAATTATTCTTTTTCTCGTTCTCCGATTTTTTGCGTCTCTTTACGTTCGTTCCAAACTCCCACCGCTGGACCTGCAATCCACTGTAAACGCGACTCACAGACCATTGACTGTACAGGTCAGCGGGCGATCCCGCCCCCTCAGGGCGCACTATCTCCTGCGCCCCCAACATCGTCTTTTCTCTTGCATTGATGGGAGTACTGCGCCTGTTCCAACTTTTAACGTGAGGTCCATAGGACGGCTCAGGGCGCAAATCTTTGGCCTGAGGCGGAATACCGTCTCAGTCCGACACGACAACGTTGATGAGCTTAATCAATCCAAACTCAGCATAAGACTATAAAGTATTTCTTCACATCTTGAAATAAATCACACCATAATTTCGCAATATTTTAATGTTATTATTTTTTTTTAACGTTTTATCCAAGGTAAATGGCATGTTGTGGTGTGGTGGGGGGCGTTGCCTGCGCCTCTATTGGCCGGCCGCCCACTGGCTTCTTCATTAGGAGGGGAGTCTCAGTTTAATTTTCTCCTACAGTTAGTATGAACAAAAGTAGAACAAGATTTGCCAATGAGACAAAACAAACTGATTCTTTTTTATAAAAATCACTCCATACAGATACTTTTCAGCGTGATGGACAATGCTAACCTGCTCGCTCAATGCAGGCCCCATAGGAAAGTGCTCATGGATGAGTTTGGCTCCAACTCTCTCTGGCTCCTACTGTGTTAAGCCCTATTCGCATCAGGTTTAGTTCCTCTGGTAATTTATGACAATCTCGAAATGCGCCATGTCTGTTAATTTGTAAAGTAATAAATTCAGCTGCAAATTACCTCCTTGTATTTGTCCACAGACGCCCAGTGATATATACTCTGTAAGGTAAGAAACTGCATGTCCAGTGGATTGTGATCGCTTTTGCCCAACGAGGGGGTGCGTGAAATTATAGACATTTACTGACATTTTTACTCTATCAAGGGTGAACGCGCTGACAAGTATCACAGGGGTGGGGCGGTAATTTGACAACGACCACGGTTATTACTAATCCCTTGCAAATAGGACTTTACAATAAAATCCTCTCTCTCTGTAAAATTTTTGGTGTCACAATCACCCATTTTTTGGCTAAAATCTGTTGGTTTATCGCTCCCTGGTGTTTATAATTTGTCTTTGTGAATTCCAAATCTGAGCAAATAAGGCTTTTTGGCTTACAAACTGTGGGGGTGGAAAACTCCAGCTTGCCTAGCAACAGTGCTGAGCGACCCACGTCTGCCAGTGTTACGGCGCTAAGCATGACGCGAAACAATTCCCATATAGGAAATTCGCTCCAGAAGGCTTATCTTTCAAATCGGCCTCCTCCACCTTCGGCTAACACAACGTTTCCAAACTATGGTTCGCTGGACAACTGCGGCCCTTATGTCATGTTTTTGTGGTCCTCTTTTCTTGCTAACTAGCATTTAGATATAAACTTCCAACAGTGTCATCAGCAACTTCAGTCAAGTCTTATAGATTTTTTTTTACCTGGGGACATTTCTGGTGAACTAAAGAGACCTCCTTATATTTAACAGTTGTTCCATCGCGGGGCTGACACACTATGGTGATGTCACAACACGCTTTGTCTTTGTTGCTACATGAGAATACTGCATGTTGAATGTTGTGTGAGGTTTTAGTGGCATTTACCCACACTTTTTATTACTCACGAACTCAATAATTGTGTGTTGCGAATGGCCTTACAGAGCTGAGGTTGGCTGACCTGTGTTATTTTAATTATTCCCCCTTATCAATCCAGGTTTGAAAAGTGCTTTGAAAAAAGTTTGTTGTTGGTATGCTTCCAACTGAATATGTGAGAGAGAAATATGGTGGTGATAAAAGTAGAGCAGAGGATGTGTGAGGAACCAGATACACAGGTGAACCACGAGCAAATAAAGTTATAAGTAATAATAATAATATATATAACCACATTTTATTTAGGTCCCCCGCTGAAAGACCTGAGGACACGCTGGGAGACTTGTCCTCTCAGCTGGCCTGTGAACGCTCTTGGGGTCCCCGGATGAGGCTGGAGGAAGTGTCGTTTTGTGAATCGGGAAGGCTGGGTTGTCTCTGCTTAGATGCTGCCCCCGCCGTTCCCGGCAACGGATTATAAAGCGGGAAGAAAATGGATGATGGAATGGATGGCTTTTATTTATAATGCCCTTTACATTTGACCACCAAATCTCAAAGTGCTACCAAAACAGGCCCGCATAAATAAAAAGCCAACCACACATAAAAATCTGATAATAGTCACACAAAAACAATTAGCAGTCCGCTTTGTTAAAAGATGGGTTTTGAGTCCCTTTTTAAAAGCTTCCACCCGTTGTGGGGCCTGAGGTGGTCCGGGAGGGCGTTCCACCGTACGGGGAAAGCAGCGGCCTGAAGGGCCGGACCGCCCATGTTTTGAGCCGTGTCCTGGGGGGGAGGAGAGACGGGTGCTTGTTGGCCTGACCGGGTTCTGCATGGGAGTGTGGAGTGTGAGGAGGGTCAGATGAGGTGGGGGCTCACCGTGGAGACAGTGGTGGTCAGAGGTTGTGCAGGAGGATACTTGTATTTATACGGAGGTGAACGGGAGCCAGTGGAGGGTGTGAAGGATGGGGGGGTGATGTGCTCCTCATGCTTCCGCCACCCGCATTCAGGACCTGGCCCACCGTGTTTTGTACGTATGGGAGCTTTTGAAGGCAGCTGCAGGGGATCCCGATGCGGAGTGCGTTTGCCTGGTCCACCCTGGAGGGAGACAAAAGGATGTACGAGCTTCTCTGCGCGGGAGCGAGAGAGCAAATAGATGTATTTATTTCTGACTTAAAAATTCAGCAATGGTGCTTTTGTCTGCTTTAGCAAGACACCTGTGCTCTTAAATTATATAGTTGTAATTTAACTTGCCCAATATTTGTCTATCATGAAGTCATTTAAGTTCTATAGATTTACTAATAATTAATAATAATGCCATTAAAAAAAAGTATGAATTCATTAAGTATTTTATTTAAAAAAGCCTCAGGCTTCCGTTCGACCTGCGGTTCAATGTTAGAAGTTGATTTTAATAGATTTTCAAGCAATT